CTACTACTACTACTGCTGCTACTCCCGCTGCTACTCCTACTACTACTACTACTACTACTACCACCACTGCTACTGTACATCATTTTTCCTGGCATTTAGCATGACGAAGAGAACCTGCGCCCCAAAGTCTGGACTCTTATTGGACCTTCATAGGCAAGCTGCATGTAGCCTTTTGTCTCCCGCTTCGAGGCCGAGATGCCGCTTCAGCTGGGGGAGGGGACAGCGCCGGTGGCTGCTCCGGAGGCGAGGGGACTCTTCTGGTTGGCAATTTCCCCATGGTTGGGGCCGTTGTAGGCTCTGGTCAAAGCTCGTTCGAAGGAGGGGGGTGGGAGGCATCGGCTGTTTCCGCCAGGTGGCAGCATGCTTCCCGAAGATGGCCGCGAAGTCAACGGCTTCGAAGACTCGGCAGTAGAGGGTGGAGGTGGCATGGGCGGTGGAGCGGCTTGCGACCTGGAGGTCCCTGCCGTCGCACAGGGGGGTGGCGGTGCCAGCAGTGCCCCAACTGAGGAGTGCGGACCCACGACTCCCACAGACGACTTCATATCTGCTGCCAGAATCGCACTCGCACGGCATGTTTTCAACTTCTCCACTCCATCGGGTGCGCAGAGTAGCCACCGGTCCTCGAGTTCTCGAGTGGATGGAGGTGGCCCCGTGTCGATCCTCGAGGAGGTCCGTGAAACGGAGATGACAGAAATGGCGGCTGCTAAGGCCTTGGCCGAACATCTGCTCAAACTGCACCAGGACACGCAGCTCACTAGCAAGGCTTTGGCGCGGCACTTGTTGTCTTTCCCCGAAAGTGCTGGCTTAGGAAGTGCCTTGTCGGATGAGCCTCCTGGCCCCCCTCCCTGCAGCCCCCATGGGCAAGCTGGAACTTGGCAGGCAGAGCCAAGTGAAGAGGTTGCAGCCGCCTTGGCGCGACATCTCCTGACCCTTGAGGAAGGCAAACTGCCTGAAGAGAGCAAAGCTCCCAACCCCCTTCCCTGCAGCCCGCATGGGCAAACATGGCCGAGAGATGCAAGCGAAGAGGTGGCCGTCGCCTTGGCACGTCATCTCATGGCCCTTGAGGAAGGAAACTTGCCTGAAGAGAGCCCGGCAAGCCACGATGCATGTGTGAGCTCCAACCCCAGCGTGGAGATCAACACAGTTGCCAGGGCTTTGGCACACCAAGTGTTGAACATGGAGGTAGGGTCAGGAGCACAAACCTGTGATCCTGATACAGTCGCTGTGGCACGGGCACTGGCGCACCACGCCTTAGGATAAGCGATCCGCTCTGCGAGATGTGTTTTCAGTGCTGCGGAATGTTTAGCTCCAGGGCCATTTGCCTTGGGGCAGTCTCTAGGACTAGGGCTTGTAGGACTTTTCGTTTGCAAAATGCGAAGCATTGATCTGGGGATCGGGAATGGACAAAGCGGCCAGACCCTGGATCACAGAAGCCTGGCTCCTCAAGGGATCCTCGCAAGCGCCTGCGCCACAAGGACAGGACTCCTTCCGAAGATAGCATGCAAAAAGTCCAACAGCACTATAGCTTGCTACGAGGACAATGCTAGCTGCTAGCTGCTAGCAAGCATCGTGTGGCAGAGCCTAAACTAACTAAGACGATGTTTTCGGTTTCATATGTTGGGCATTAGCGGGTAGCTGACAACCCTAATCCCTAGAATTTGATGCTGGCTGGCCGACACCAGACCTGTGCTGAAGGATAGATGTGATCCCCCAGGCTGTGCGAGGTCCAGACAATGCTTTATGCAGTGTATCTTGGAAGCCAGTGCAATGAAGGCTCTTGTGCCCTGCAGCCGTACATGAACCCACACGCCTAGTGCATCACAAGGTCGATTTACTTCAGAGTTTGGGCCTTCGAGCTCTTTGCTTAAGCTCGTTAGCCCTGATACAGTACTTGCTCATATGTATTATTGCCTACATGCATGCTGTCAAGGTCGAGACTTTGAACGACGTCTTTCAGGCCTTCTTCCAGGCACTGATCAGCCATTAGTAGTGTCCAAATACCTGGGCGTGGGTTCTTTGGACCACAGGACTAACTGACAGGCAGAAATCCATCTGGCACTGAGATTCATAGCAGATGTGCCCGGTATCCATGGAAGTCTCGCCCCTCTCGTGTATCATCGATGCAGTCTTGCAGGCGCCATGCTGAACTAGCCTGTAGTATCAAACGTAGTGATAGCACTACTATTGTGCGAGCAGCAGCCGCAGCAGCAGCAGCAGCAGCAGCAGCAGCAGCTGCAGCTGCAGCTGCAGCTGCAGCTGCAGCTAGTAGCAGAAGGAGGAGTAGTAGTAGTCGTCGTCGTAGTTGTAGTAGTAGTAGTAGCAGCAGCAGTAGTCGTAGTCGCAGTCGTGGTCGTGGTCATAGTCGTAGTCGTAGTCGTCGTCGTTGTCGTCGTCGTCGGAGTCGTCGTCGTAGTAGTAGCAGTAGTAGTAGTAGTAGTAGTTGTTGTTGTTGTTGTCGTCGTCGTCGTCGTCGTGGTCGTCGTCGTAGTCGGAGTAGTAGTCGGAGTCGTCGTAGTACTCGTACTAGTACTGGTACTAGTACTAGTACTAGTACTCGCAGTAGTAGTAGTAGTAGTCGTC